GAGGGGCTCTCTGGTCACCCTCGAAAGGAGCCCGCCCCCGCCCCACGTTGTCACCAGCCTGATGTTTGCTTGTCTATTGTCTGCAACACCCTCACCGCGGCGGGGAGTGCGGCCAGGCCGGCCGGGGCCGCGCCTGCAGCCTAGGGGGCTCCCCAGCTCCAAGGAAATGCCTGGATGCGGCCGCTCTGGTTGCAAAAGAAAAAGTTGCTTTTTTTTTGTTTTGTGGGAAAATGGAGAAAAATGTAAATCACCTTGTATCCCCCGCCCCCCCCATCAGAGGTCCACGTTAACATTTCTGTGTGTGTTCTCATGCATATATACTCTATACATTTATTCTCCAAAAAAGAGCTTCGGAAACTCCAGTCGCCTCTTGTTAAACGTTACAAATTTTTATTTTTTATAGTCGTTCTGCGTCCCTATTAACATCTGGGGTTGTTGACCTGTGGTCCACGCCAGGCATTGACAGCCCCCTCTCCCAAGGATGTAACATTGTGTGCAAAGGTGTGTCTGTGTCTCTGCGTGTGCGCTTAAGTCTGTGCACAACAGCTATGTCTGTGTACGCTGTGTGTATGCCTGAGCACACACAGAGAAGTGGTGTGTACATCTCATCATTTGTTGTAGGGGGTCCCTGTCCCCCAAGAAGGTTAAGAATCACGGATACATGGTCCTTTTCAGAGGCAGCCAGCGAATCCACGCAAGTGTCTCCGGGCCTCCTGATGAATTATGCCAGCCACCCACTGTCGCGGTCAAATTTACACCAGAGTCCCTCTCTCCGTGAGGCTTCCAAGCGTCCCTGCCAGGCCCGGGTCACCTCGCCCCTATGGGCAGGTCCCGGGTTTGACCTCAAGCCCCAAGCCTCCCGCTGGCCCGAGCTGGGGGAGCAGCTGCTCCTGGGCCAGGCAGCTTCCATGGGCAGTTGCTCCACCACAGTGAGGCCCTAGGAGGAGGCAGCTATTTTTATCCTGGGGGAGGCTACAGGGAGAGAGAGGCTGAACAGGCAGGAAGTCTTGGAACTTGATTTTCTTCTTCTGGAGTGAGACGGATGGGTTCCATTTTAGAGGTTAGCTGGCCTCGGCTTATTCAAGTGTCAGCCCCCCAGCACAATACTGCACCCAACATCCTGCAGGAGGAGGCTGGGCAGAGCGTGAGAGTTGAGGAAACTGTTCCACCAGAGACTGATCAAAACCACACATACCTACTTAGTATGGTGGAAAAGGCTCTACCTATTAGGGGACCAGGGTTCTATCAAGAATAGCATGGGGCCTGGGAGTGTGCTATGTGAACAGGGCTCCCTATTCAGACAGGAGGCATTTTTCAAAAGGATGGCATATTCCCTGAGTTGTTTTTTTTTTAAAAAAACAAAACACGTATTTTATTGCTTTTTTACAGAGAGGAAGGGTTAGGGATAGAGTTAGAAACATGGATGAGAGAGAAACATCGACCAGCTGCCTCCTGCACACCTCCTACTGGGGATGTGCCCGCAACCAAGGTACATGCCCTTGACTAGAATCGAACCTGGGACCCTTCAGTCTGCAGGCCGATGCCCTATCCACCGAGGCTAACCGGTTAGGGCTCCCTGAGTTTTTTAATATGGCTCACAGTCCCCAAGAAAGGAAGTTCCTGTGGGCAAAGCAATCTCCTCTTATCAGTGACTCCTTGAGGCAGTCTGTGATATAAACAGAGCAGAGCTGTCCGTCCAGCCTGGCTGGGGTCTGGTACTTGTTAATGGTGTGACCTTCAGAATTTAAACTCTGCAAGCCTTGGTTTTCTCATTCACAAAGTCAGGGTGATGATGCCAGACTCAGGGGTGATGATGCCGGACTCACAGAGCTTTTGCAAGATTTAATTGGAGAAGATGTGAGTAAAACCCCTAGGCAGACTCTGGACTGGGTGTCAGTCACACCCATTGTTATTACTCTTGTAATTAATCCCTTCCCTCTAATGACCACTTTCTGGAAAGTTTCATCACCGGTAACCACCAAACGGTTCAAACCAGGGATCCTCAAGAATGTCATTCAATATAGCACCATATCAGGCCCAGAGCCAAGCTCAATACACTCGTGCCAGGCATCATGCTTGGCACAGGGACACAGAGGTGAGCTAGGTGCTTCCTCAAGGAGGTACCATGATGTGTGATTGTTGCACACTACCATCAGCGCTCTGAAGGAAAAATTAGTGGGTTCTCAAATTGTGGTTGCCAGACAAGCAGAATTCTCATCTGGAACCTTGTGGAAATGCAAGTTCCTCGGCCTCACCCGGGACTAACAGAGGTAACTTCTGTTAGCCACACACAGAGAACTGGCATATACATTTTGTTGTTTGTTCTAAGGAGCCCTTAGACTCCAAAGAGCATCATGGGCCCTCCAGGTGATGCTGGCCGCTCTGTCACGGAAAACTCAGCTACACTGTCTCTCCTTCGGGCGATTGCGTTTGTCATCTCGTGGCCTCCCTGCTTTCCCCTTACTCCTTTAGTCTGTTCTCAACACAGCAGCCAGAGCCAGATTGAAAAATCAGACAGAGGCTGAAAGCCAGGACTACGGGCTTTATTAGAGGAGAAGGACCTGCCGGGCTGTCTCGCAAGGGGAGAACAGCAACTCGTGCAGAGGTGGGCACGCCTTTTGAGGGGCGGAATGGGAAGGAATGGGGGCTTAGTGTACTCGTTGTGCTTATTGGTGGCTTACTGTATGGTCCATATAGGAACAAGGGCTTAGGGTATTTGGCAGGTGTTTATTGGTGGTTCAATGTATAGTCCAGGATTGGGAAAACTTTTTGACTCGAGGGCCACAATGGGTTCTTAAACTGGACCGGAGGGCCGGAACAAAAGCATGGATGGAGTGTTTGTGTGAACTAATATAAATTCAAAGTAAACATCATTACATAAAAGGGTACGGTCTTTTCTCTTTTAGTTTTATTCATTTCAAACGGGCTGGATTCGGCCTGTGGGCCGTAGTTTGCTCACGGCTGGTATAGTCCATATAAGGTGCCTGGTTAGGTACTCAGGTATTTCCAGGCTGCAGGTTATGTCATACTCTGCCCACCAGTTGGGGGAAGGGAGGATCTATCACAGATCATGTGGCTCCCTGGCTCTTAGACTGCCAATGGCTCCCTAACTCATCTAGAATAAAAGGCGAAATGCTTACAAGATATCAAGACATTTAATACATCACCAACTAGTTTTTTTAAAAGATACCAAGGCAGTGCTCACACTCTACCTTTTTCCTCTTCCCTTCTGATCTTATCTCCTTCTATTCTCCCCCTACTCACTCAGCTCCAGCCACAGTGGCTTCCTTGCTCTATTTCCAACACACCAGACACAATCCTATCTCGGGGCCTTTGCGCTGCTGTTCCCTGAACTTGGAATGCTCTTCCTCAGACACCTACATGGCCTCATCTCTCACCTCTTCAAATCTATGCTTAAAGGTGAACTTCTAAATAAGATTAAAAGTGTGAACTTCCCAACACTTGAACTCCCCGGAGGAGGAACTGGTTCCATCTCTCCTGAATCCCCAGAGTAACTTGGTTTCACACCCAAGGTCTTCCCATAACCCCTAACCCATCCCTGGAGAAGGAGTCCCCTTTCCCTTCCCAGCCAAAGTGTGGGTGGCAACTTTTGACATTTCCCAATAAGCCTCAGCGTGAAAATGCTGGGAAGCCCTGACCTCATCCTCCTGAGGTTTCCTTGCCTGGAGGAAATGAAGGCCACACTCACCACCATGCTCTATGCCCTGCCCCTGCTCTTGGTTTTGCTTTTCTCTGTGGTTGACCTTATTCTGTTCCTCCAGGAGTCAAATTTCAGAAGGACTGGGAAATAGCATCCTCAGGACTTGTTTCACTGCTCCTTAAGAAAGGACAGCCTTGGGCTTGAGATGCAGCAGGGTGGGTGGGTGGAAGCACAATAGAAATGACTGGGGTGTTCCATGCATGGAGTCTGATGCCCCTCTTAAAGTCCCAGCTCATGTCCTCAAGGATAGACACCCAGCTCAGATAACCCTGAGAAAAAAAATCCCCAACCTGGACTGTGCTCACAACTGGGGAAGGGATCTAAAAGGGGTGCCTCTAAGTTCTAAAAACAGCTCCTTCCTTTGCCAAAAGCTTTTGGGGATGCTATTCTGTGTACTGGAGGGTTTACTTTTTAAAACTTCTCCCTCCACAAGGAACATATTAACCTGTTGTGCTGTGAAGGAGTCAAGTGGCACAGAAGTACATAGAGTGAGATAGAACAATCTCCTTGACACAAATCGTCCTCCCTCTCCCCAACCCCCCAGTTTGGTGTATGTTCTTCAGCCTTTTATCTAGACATTTACCTACATATATATGCATTTAGACATGCCACATGTGTGTAGGTTTTTTTTTCAGTTTTACATAAATGGAATCAGACTAAAAGTAATGGTCTACATAATTTGCTTTTTTCACCGATCAAAATAAGTTAAGGACGTGAGGATACTTGCACGACAGGGCACAAGGAGGCACAGCAACCGTGCTCTTCTGGTTGGGATGGACCATGATAGACTGCATCCTTGCACGTGCTTCTTTGTGCACATATGTAGATAATCAGGAGGGTAGATTCTCAGAGGTGGAATTGCTGAGTCAAAGGGAGTTACCTTTTCATGTTGATAGATTCTGCTTAATTGCCCTTCCAAAGACTTTGCCAATATATACACTACCACCGATGGCATAAATGGAAGAGACAAGGTAACACAGAACATCAGAGGTCTTCATTTTGCTTTGGACAGTCTGAGGAAAGAAAAATAACTTCTTGTTCAATCTGTATTTCCCTCACTAATGAGGTTGAGCATCTTGTCATATATATTTATTGCCCACTCAGTTTACTTTGTGAAGGCACTGTCCACATCTTTTGACAACTTTTCTAGTGGGTTTTTAGTGTCTTATTGATTTGTAGGTAATTTCTTTTACTCTATCTCTTCTCATTTAACTTTGGTTATGATGTCCTTTGCTCAATTTAAATTTTGGATTTTTATTTTAGATCCCAATCTTCCAATCTTTTTCTTTATGGCTTCTGGACTTTGTGTCTTGCTTAAGAAGGACTTCCCAATTAATAATGTTTTATATTTTTTCTAATGCTTTTGTACTTTTCTCTTTTAAAAAGTGAGCTCCTCAGTCCATCTGGAATTTATATTTATGTATGGTATATGACATGATTTTATTTTTTCCATATGGGGAGGCATTTGTTTCAAACACTATTTACTGTATTTATTGAATATTCTGCTCTTAGTGGTTGTAACCAATTGTATTAGTCGGGGTTCTCCAGAGAAACAGAACCAATACGAGATAGAAGCAGAGGTAGAGGTAAAATGATTTTAAGGAATGGGCTTATGTCATTGTGGGGGCTGGCAAGTTTGAAATTTGGACAGAAGTCTGGTAGGCTGGAAATTCAGTTGATGTTTTAGTCTTGAGTCCAAAACCTGCAGGCTAGAATTTCTATGTTCTGGAGGCAAAATCTCTTCTTCAGGGAACCTCATTCTTTGCTCTAAAGCCTTCAACTGATTACATTGGGGTCCACCCACATTAAGGAAGGCAATCAGCTTTATTTCCAATCGACTGATTTCACTGTTAATCGCATCCATAAAGCACTTCCACAGCAGCATGTAGACTGGTGTTTGACCAAACAACTGGGCACAAATTAACACATAAAACGAACGATTGCAGCCAGACTTCCTATTCTTTTCCTTTTCACTGTGTATGGTTGTTTATTGTTATTCATTGTTATTGATGTTGAGCAACCAGTGTTCATGACCTGCTGACTCCCGTGCTCAACCACACAGCACTCCGGGCATTAGTGCTACCGTAGGGTGTCATTTTCACTCAAGTGCGGAATCACTCCACGGTTTTCCCAGCCCCACCCAGGAAGCTCCACTGGGACTAGGATTTCACTGGACTGAATTTCCCATCCCAGGCTTCATTGTTTTACTGAAACTACCTCTAACTTTTCCCTTTCTTTTACTATAAATATAATCATAACAAATAAACAATATATTTGTGACACAATGCAGTCTTGAAAAAACATCTTCTGTTTTCAATGATGCTGTTAAGAGTTCCTGCTGTGAATTCATCAGCCAAAGAAAGAGTAGGCATTGTTTCCTCCCTGTTCAAGAGGAACTTTAGCTTATGGTATCCTTCATTGCTGAAGGTCAGCCTGGCTCTCCTCACCCCAAAGGAGCAGCAGATCTGTGCTCTCAGGAGCTCGGTTAAAGAAGCTAAATTGGATGAATTGGAAGTGGGGCTGGGAGCTAGGTTAGGGTTCCCAGGGAAGGAGGGATGTATATCGCTGCCAAGAAAACTTCATGGAGGCTGCGAAGGGGAAGTGTGTCAGGTTCTGTGAGGAGGCTAAATGTCTGCATTTCCTCAAAGTGCTTTTCTGTAAGGGAAGCCAGAGTCCCCAAACGCTATTCCACAATACACCAGCTTGGTAAGAGGTTAGGAGTTTATCCAGTTTATTTGGGAAACATGGCACAGCAATGCCTGGCTTGGGAAAATCAAATGCACATGGACGTATTGAAGATCGTGAGAAGTCCTGTTAAACTTTCCTTAACTCAGTAATTTCCAGGCCACGTTTCTCACGGCACACTTATTGGCATCAAGAGTTCTATAGACCAAGTTTGGGACACTGGTGCAGTGGAAGGAGCATGGGGCTTGGAGTGAAGGGAACGTTGTCCTAGTCTACTGGGCCCCTTGACGGGGCCACTGTGCTTCTTTGGAGTAACTCGTCTAGTTTGCAAAACAGGGTGGATAGACTTGATATATTTGTTTAGACTTGACCACAGTTAGAAAATTGAGACCTATGGGAGTAGCTGAGAGCTTATCCAAGAGCAAAGAGAGAGCACTAAATAGCAATGAGACAGACCGGGGCTGAGAACCCAACTCCCTAACCGCCCCCCCACCCTCCCAACCAGCTCTTTGACCCCAGGCAAGTTAAAGTCCGTCGTTGTAAATGGAGTTAACACCAACTCTGCAGCTGGGATTCAGAGAGGAGGTCAAGAGATTGTGCATACAAGGCACCCAACCTGTTGCCTGGCCCATAGGAAATGTAGCTGTGAAATTGCTGCCATAGTGATGATACCACACAAAGGAGAAATGGCAACACTCTTAGAAATCCTATATAATAAAAGGTTAATATGCAAATCAACTGAACAGCAGAATGACCAGTCGCTATGACGTGCACTGACCACCAGGGGGCCGACTCTCAGTGCTGGAGCTGTTCCCTGATGGTCAGTGTGCTCCACAGGGGGAGCATCGCTCAGCCAGAAATCAGGCTCATGGCTGGCAAGTGCAGCAGCAGTGCTAAGAATGTCTGACTGCCTGCTTAGACCTGCTCCCCCCGGGGTGGGGGGCGTGGAGCAGGCCTAAGCCATCAGTCAGACATCCCCTGAGGGCTCCCAGGCTGCAAAAGGGTGCAGGCCGGGCTAAGGGACACCCTCCCTCCCCCTGAGTGCATGATTTTTGTGCATTGGGCCTCTAATTTAAATATAACTGAACTTTGCTTCCAATTGGTTTACCAGACCCACAACAAGAAAAAAAGAAGAAGAAAGCCCTTTTGTTCCTAGGATGTGCAGGCTCTAATTTCATCCTACCCAGAATTCCCAGGAACACACTCCACCTCTGCTCTTAGTTTTCTGAACAGAACAGGTCCAGACAGAACACAACCCTTTTACTCTCTTTGCAGAATATTGTGGGG